AGAAGGTACCGGACCGGGCCCGGCACCTCACCGCCCCCAGGCGACCCGCCCGCGCGGCCGCCTCTCATGTGTGACGCACGCGGTGGGCGTGGGATGTGTGAGGCGCCAGGCGACCTCTCCATCGCGCTGGTACTCATGCGGACCGCGCTGGGCGGCGCTCGTCGCGAGCGCGTGCCTGAGGGGCGGAGCTTGGTGCCGCTTTGAGCGGTGGGCCCGGGCCGGCGTGCCTTTGTGCAGCGATGAGCGCTGGAGTTAATTCACGTTGCTTGAGCGTGCTTGACTGCGACGAGCGCCACCCGCAGCGGACGCTGCGCATGGGGATGGCTAGTCGCCGTCTTGTAGCCATCTCGCATTGATGAAAAACAGGGCGGCAGCGAAGCAACAGCGTCCCAAGAAGTGCGGCTTACCAAGCGTGACGGGGGATACATGGGATGTGAGCGTGTCTTATGGCCTGGGCTTCGTCGACACCGCCTTTGTGATTTTGCGCGTGGTGTTGTTGAGGGTTCCGCAGGCCCTTGCTTCGGAGCAGGGCCTGAAGAGAGTGCGGGCAATAGGGGCATCCTGCCAGTGCGATGCACGGGGACGCGAGTGGTTAAGGCGGCTTGGGCTTTTGTCATGTCTTTAGAGCCTGTTGGACGTGATGCAGGCGGTACTGACACCATCAGTAGTAAGAATACGGTGCGATCAGTGACTTTCAGAGGACGTGCCTTGTCTCAACGGGTTCTCGATTGTTGAGAGGAGCGAACAAGGACGGAAGAAATGGTGGGCAGGCTGTGTGGTCTCGCGCATCAGCAGACGTGTCAAGGCAGTGAGCGAAAGACGGTGAGTGGAAAGCGTGTTACGGCGAAGGCGGAATGCAGGCGCCCCAAACCATCAATAGACCCCCCCGTCGAAGGAATCTTGGCCGTCTTCCCTGCGCATTGTTCGTCTGTGTTTGTTTGCTTCTCCGAGATGTGAGGCTTCTTTGTATCGGAATTGAGTTCATCGATTTTTTTGACGTTTTTTAAATAAGCAACTGATCTTAGATACCGTGCGACGTGTTCCCAAAATAAACAAGTGTTCACGGTTGTCATGTTCGACTACCCACACCACATCGAGCTCAAAATAGAACATCACGACGCAAGAAAGACACGCGGCAAGTCAGGCCGCACCTCCCATCTGCGCAGAAACCTGAGATAGAAACTCGACAATAATGAAATCATACTAGCCATCAATGAGAATTTAAGAGAAGAAGAAAGATCTGGCAAACGTATTGCGACGCATTTTAAAAAATCACGTTAACCAGTACCTTCGTCTAACTTCGCAAACTGTGCTCGGCTTTGTGAGAACCGCAAGCATTGTTGAGCCGGCGAAGCCGGAACGCACACCGCTGTAATTGGCATTCGAATCCGTCTGTCGTTACGTAATGGCGGACTCAAGGCTTTTGAAATAAAGGCAGCACAGAGCAGCAGGCATCGTTCCCGGATCTGTAACCGCCGACTTTCCTCCACCACCAGCAAGCACGGATGGAAAACAATGTATTTTAATTTCGTCATCGGTAAAGCATCCCCGACCGCACATTCAGAAAAGTAAATAAGTTAGACCGTAGTGACACAAACTATCACACATCCACACACACTCACCAGGCTCACAGCTATCTACACACGCGCCGGTTTGTGAGACAGTTTGTACCTGGGAACGGTAACGGAGCGCCACGTATAATGCATATCCCGGTCGGGCCGCCAGCATCCGCCAGCGACCCGGCCGCCCAGACCCAGGAGTGCCTGGACAACTGGGCACTCGCCGAGTGCCCGACACTCATTCACTCATCGGGGAGCGCGGCCATCTCCGGAGAGTCCGGAGCGCGCCCGAGGTTCCCACACAGTGGGCGGGGTAGCAGGTCCTGAGGTCCGGCACACACAGCGCGCGCGCGCCGACGTCGCGCGGCCGCCCGGAGGCGCGCCGGCGTCACTCGGGGGCCGACAGACCCGGCAGGTAATGCCACGACCGGAAGTAAAGCAGCGCCGACAATTACTCAGCAGGCCAGCGCATCACAGACCTACGCCACGCACTCTCTGGCGCACACATGCCTGTGTGTACACGGCTCTATGTGCACGCGATTACACCCAACGCTACAAAACCTGCGTCACTGTTCAGGTTATGAAAGGGGTAAAAATTCATTAAAACAGCTCATAATATGTCGGTGGACGATAAATAACGAAATGTCGACATGGTGCGCGTACATTAGGTACCTGAAAAGCATTGATCGTTCACGTGTGTGCCGCTGTACCAGGGCCGGCGAGCCGCCAGCCCGCCGACGGCGCAGGCCGACGGCGCCAGCCAAACGAAAGCGTAAACAGCAGAGTACTAGAGGGTCGCTCGAGCGCTGGGCACACACCGACCGACCCCCTCTGTCTGTGGCGAACAGCGGACGTCACGCGCAGAGGCGCGAGCGCAGGGTCGCCCGCCCCGTGCGCGGCTCTGTCGCGTCCGCCGACGCACGGCGCGGCACCGCGCGCCCCTGGCGGGCGCCCACCGAACTAACCAACTAAACAGTCGACATTGCACTGGTGTCACCCCTGATGCTTGAGCTCTGCTGGTTCACGACTGGGGGCAGCCCCGGCCGGGCCCGGTCCGGTCGTGAGCCCGGACCCCGCGGCCGCAGTGCGCGGGACCACTGGAAGAAGACGAGAGAGGACGAACTAGCGCACACACGCGCACAATCGCCCACGCACGCCTAACAACACCAAACGGACACCGAGGAACGCACACGCACACTCTCGCGCGCGCACGCATGGGGCGAGGCGAGGAAGAGCTTTTGATTCTGGGCCCGGCTGTGGACTGGAGACGTCTCGCACGCGCCAGCTCGCGCGACCCGGCAGGCCAAGGGACTGAGTGAGTGGAGGAGTGAGGGTGTGAGTGGGTGAATGATTGCCTGAGTGGGTGGCTAGTGACTGAGTGGGTGAGTGGCTGTGTCAGTGTCCGGGTGCGTGCCTGAGTGGCTGGTGTTTGACTGGGTGAGTGAACCCGTGAGCACGTACGTGAGTGGTATCGTGCTCATGTACGTGTATCGGCCGACCCATCCAAAATCAGTCGGAATAGAGGGCGCCAGAGAGCCAGCCACGGGCACGTCCACGCCCGACGGCCAGTACGCACGCCTCCTGTGACTGCCCCTGAGCGGGCGTTTCCGTGCTAATAGCACGGCCGTCTGTACCACTGCTGACTCCTGTCTGTGCGTGTGGATGAACGCGCACGTGCGACTGCGTGAGCGTGTTCGCGTGTCTATCTGCGTGCGCTACTGGGACACCGTACGCGAGCCGACCGCGAGACCGGGACGACAACGCCCGCGCGCGCGACTGTGCGCGCCCGTGTGCCAGGACGGCGCCAGGCGGCGCGGTCGCCGGCCGCGCACGCGCGCGCGAGCCGGCGCGTCCGATGCTCCGCAGGTACCCGTCGACAGAGGGCGATGCAGGGGCGGCTACCGACCGACGGCCGGCAGCGCCGCCTGGCGTCATGGGTCGGAGTTACTCAGCGAGGTCGACGGCGTGGCTTCCGGGTCACTGCAACGCGAGGCGACGGGTCAGTGGATCAGCGCACAGGCGCTGACGCATGTAAACAGTGCGGAGTCGGGCCGCGCACAAGGGACCAGCGGCCAAAAAACGTCAAAACAATCACTTCGAGCTTCAACGGGACGTGGCGAACTGGCTGGCGCACAATGAGTTCATCTTTGTATACCTCGTGCAGAAAAAGGCCTGTTTGGAGCGACCCGATACGTTTATGCTGAGATTGCGGTTCCGCGAATAGCAGCAGCGACACGCGAGGTGGCTGTCGGTCTGATACGTTGTGATTCGAGCAAGCTGCGCCACCGAAATTAAATCCTTAGTTGTCAACATTAATGTATTTATTTCGCTTAGCGTGCGTGTCAATTTTATCACGACCTTGAAAGGCAATGCAGGCCTTCTTATTTTACCCTGAACGCATCACATAGGCATAGCCATTCCAGCTCAACGGATAACTCTGTCCCCGGCGTTCAGGTCAGATCCATCTGTCGACATATCCTTCGTTCTCGAGCCACGCAAAACATAGCAACTTGTTCTTGACCCAACATACAACAACATACAACCCAACATACAACAACAAAACCCAACATACAACAACATACCACCCAACACACAACAAAACCCAACATACAACAACAAAATCCAACATACAACAACATACAACCCAACATACAACCCAACATACAACAACAAAACCCAACACACAACAACAAAACCCAACATACAACAACATACAACCCAACATACAACAAAACCCAACACACAACAACATACAACCCGACACACAACAACAAAACCCAACATACAACAACATACCACCCAACATACAACAACAAAACCCAACACAGTCCTTGAAATGCGGCAGACGTGACCCAGGTCTTGTCATTGAATACTCACATGGGATTGCCCCCCTCGTGATCCACGTACTCGTCTCCCCACCACCACCACCTCTCTCCACCCAACTTCTCCGCGACCCCGGACATCCCTTCGCGCCGTCTCCCCCCTGAGCGCCCCTTCTCCCCAGTCGGCGTCCGCGCGTGTGGGGATGCGCTGTGCGTGCCTCTCTCTCACTTGAGCCGGGCGCGCCGGCGGCGTCTGAGGGTGCTGAAGCAGCCCGAGCTGGTCTCCGGCGGCGGCAGGTCCTGGCGCAGGTCGTCGCTGCGCGAGTAGTCCGGGCCGTACACGTTCAGCTCCTTGAAACAGCCCGTCTCCAGCATCTGCCGAAGGGACGTGACATGAGAACGTGAAATGGGGACATGAGATGGGGACATGAGATGGGGACGTGAGATGGGGACGTGAGATGGGAGCATGAGATGAGGACGTGAGATGGGGACGTGGGACGTGGGATGGGGCGTGAGACGGGGAGGGGACGGAACACGCCGTGGAGTGAAACAACGCGGTAGAACGCGACAGGGCGTGACAGACGTGGAGTGAAACAACGCGGTAGAACGCGACAGGACGTGACAGATGTGGAGTGAAACAACGCAGTAGAACGCGACAGGACGTGACAGACGTGGAGTGACACAACGCGGTAGAACGCGACAGGACGTGACAGAGCGCTGCGGGGTGCGGTAGAATGCGACGGCACGTGACGACGACGGCGACTGACCTTATTATACGATTTCGTGTCAGCCTGAGTTATGTCAGTCACTGAGTCCGACTCAGCAACCGTCTTAATGTTCAATCTCATTCAATAAGTCACGTCGTTGCGAACCATGTTCTTGATAGACACGCGCACACGTCAAGTCCGGAGTTGATTCAGGCCTAAACAGACGGTAGTTTAACACACGACAGGTGTCCAAACAGCCGGTTACGTGTATTTTTGTAAGCCTGTTCGTCATCAGGCTAAGCGGATAAGTCATGAGAAGGAAGCTCGACAGTGGCAAGTAAGTGTTGGTCTTGGCTCTAGCAGAAGCTCTTGCACACAGGGTAGCAGTGTTTATACACACATAGTACGCTTTGCTCAGAGAGCGCCGGTTTGTTGCTTACTTTCGGGAACGCGCCGCCTAAAACACGCGATCACAGCATCGATGCCAGTTGCAGGGCTGTGCTTCTTGCAAATAACCAATTAGCCTCAAACGGCACGGTAACGCGCCAACAGAGGAGCGTGGCTGTTCTAGAGCCTGGCCATGAGGATGTCCCAAATGACTGAACGACGATATTGCAACTACTCGCAACGAAAACGTCATTGGTTGAAATGTATGATCGGACAAAATGATGCACGAGGATATTGCAACTACTCATGCTATCAACTACCTTATTGGTTGAAATGCATAATCGGACAAAGCGATGCAAATAATGTTATTGCTGAACAATACGGGAATTTTGTTAAATTGGAGGACTTTAAGTTAACAAATGAAACGAAACGAAATGCCATGCAATACAATGCAAATGCGAATGCGAGAAAAACATGACACACAACAAAACAAAAAGACAGAATGTGATAAAAATCAATAGCGTGTCAGATAGCAAAACCAAAACACTCCAGGAACATAATTGCGCATCTACCGAACAAAGCTGCGTTCACGACGCCAAGCCCAGTTATTGAACCAAACGTGTGGGGCAGTCATGTTGCCGGTAGGGTGCACACATCGTGCCACACGACAATGCACATCTTTCGTCGCTGCAGAAGCAGGCGCGACTGGCACATTAATTTGCACATCACCTAGCTTTCACGCACCTGCGTGTCACAGACCAATATCATCCAGTAAAATGCGCCAACACTTTGCACGCGCCCAGGGGTGTAGTTTCCTATTCAGCTGGGGGTCAGACCCCATTCCCAACTTTGAGAAGAAAGTGGACCAAAGCCGAGGAGAAAAAGTTTGATGGCTGTGCTGGAGGTAGGTGTCATAATTCTGTCACAGTCTAGCTCTCTCTCTCCCCACTCATTTTGTGAAATTAAGCCCCTACTTTTCAAAACAAGGAGTGCGTTTATCGCGCAGCCACGTCCTCGAACTGTTCTTCAGCTGTTTGATAGCGCACCAGCACACACAGTACTAGAAATATATTTATAGAAAGTGTGACGCATGCGTTATTGCGGATCCTCATACCTGCCTGGAATACAGGCTGCGCGCAAATCGCATCACGTGCGTTGTGTGACAAGGCGCCCGACAACTCAATTATACCGCGGCTATATTGAGGCTTGCCGTCAAAATCCACCGGGAGGCCGAGTAAATAAACGGGATTCGGAAATTAATTGAACGGGGCACGCACATGCAAAATAAAACGGAGCGGCACGCCGCGGCGGCGCATTTGGCAGCAAACTACAGCCACGTCCGATGTCCTTCCCCAGGTGCACGTCATATGCGGCGTGCGCTAGCTGATACCATGTCACACTCCGGCACGAAAAGGTCACGCATTACGATAACTGTGGTCGAAAAGCAGAATCGTTCATTTTCGACTTTCCATGTGCCCTTTCGGGGCTCGCAAATAGAACACGCGCGAGCCGCTCAACAGAATGCACCAAATGTGCAAGATTTTGTCTAGTTAAAAAAAAAATACATAAAGCACATGGCTCTGCACCCTATCGCAAATTTCTGTCAACCTGATGCCTTGCGACAGAATATTAGTGTTCCCCCTCGCCCTAAGACTGATCACCGCATCTTTGGCACTTCATCCTCCCGTTCATAAAGCCGTCTGGCGGTCTAACCAGGTTCCCTAAATAGCCAGTGGCACGCCACAGCCTCGCTTGAGCGCAATTAGCAGGTAACCATAGCAACCTCCCGTTTTCACGCCCAATCAGTATTTCGCGCCGTCCGTTGGCCTCCGGCCGCCACTTGACCTCTGCCGCCCGCGGCCTGTCAAAGGTCACGGCCCGACGCCAGCCCACGGCACTTGCCGGGTCACACATCGATCCGACCCCGCTGACCCGCTGACCTCGCTGACCCCGCAGGTGCTCTCAGTCATGTGCGGCGGCTTAGTCGGAGCCGGCCGGCCTTGGGAGCCAGCTGTGCATGCGGCACGCGGCCGACCCTGCTGAACCCCGCTCCGGGCGGCGGGCTCGATCCGGCGAACGGCGACCTGGTGCGGAAAGGTCAGGTGCCGCTGGGGCTGGCGGCGAACTCAGTACGCTCCAGATGGCAAGTACGATGGGCATACTGTGGCGCAAACGAAGAGTAAAAACGTTTCCGGGGAACGCTGAGGGAAACTGGCGCACTTGCGCCGTCTTGATCCAGGCACGTGAGTTGGTCAAAAAGTTACAAATGCCCGATCGTTAGTGGTTGGCAAGATCACGGAAGTTTTTGGCGGGCCAAAGCTTGGCCGAAAGACAGTAAACACGAACATCCGAGTGCAACCAGCCCCATAAATGAAAAGTGAACCAAACCTCGGCAAGCGAAAGTGCCATGCCCTTTTACCTTTAGCCAGGTTGTTCGGTCCAAGCACTTCTCTGGGGCAGCGTTACTGAGTTGACTGGGTTTACGAGACCTAGACGCATTGCAACAAGCCGAAGGCCGCTCATACCAAGACGATACGTGCCTGTGCCAGGCGAGTGAGTCGACTACTCCAAGCGACGAAGGCGGCCTGGCTTACAGACCAGCGCTAGCCGAGCCGACAACCTTTCCGCGACGGTCATCCGCCGGCCTTCCCGCGGCTTGTCCATGCTCAGTCACCGTACAAATGTCAAGGATGTGGATGTGACCACCATGCCAGTTCGGTCGACGGGTGTGACTGACGGATGACGGATATGGTGAACGTGTATATTTAGTAATAGTCGGTATGTAGGCTGGGATTCACGCGAATCATTCACGGACATTTGCATGCGCTGATTTTGTGAAATCCGAGGTAGCTAACGGCGAATGTTATTGTTGGGTTTGTTGGCTGAATATCAGCCGACACAGCGCCAACATCCAGCGCAAAAGACAGAACACCAGGAATGATCATGCTTGAGAGATATACTGCACTTTTTATTTCCGGCGTTACGGGCTGTTCTTCAGACTTAATATAAGACGGGGCGGGGCAGTTTACCACGTATGCCTGAAAAAGAGCCTGATATTTTTTAGTTCGCATTGATTGGACATACCCAGAATGCATCTCGCGTTACTGAACCGCCTACACCACTCCATCCAGACATATTTGTCTAGCCGATTCCAGCATGCTGCCTTTGCAGTGCACCGTGACCGAGCATGCGAGACGGCACACACACAAACTAAGGCTCATTTTGTCTCCCTGGTGATCCGAATGAGGACGTACCGCCTACACCGCAGGAGGGGGGGGGGGGGGGGGAGTTGCATTGTCCTAAAACGGAGCAGCGGAAACTCGAAGCGCTTTGTGCCGCAGAAAGCGCTGGTTTTATGTCATGGTTTTATCGCCAGTGGCCAAATAACTTTGCAACAAGTGAACTACTAAAATTTTAATGGGAAAGCGAACGCGATTTGTGACGAGCCAGCACAGGCCGTGGCGAAAGGTATCGTCCTCTTTCCGCCACGCCCGTGACGCGGAGCTCATCGTAACAAAGCATATCTAACAGCATTGTGCGATGTAGTGATCCCATCTGGTCCCCCTCACCCTCACCCTCTCTCCTAACTCGCGACCACCGAAGGGGGCTGGCTGGCATCTGGAAGAGCACCCGCTACTGCCCCTCCCCCCGCGCCCACCCAATTCGCGCAAGCCGCGGGGGCTGCACTCACCTCCTGCTGCCACGGGATGGAGACGGAGCCGGTGTTGAACTTGTCGTAGAACTCCGAGTCCCGTGAGTCCAGCGCCACGCCCTTGACCGTCGAGAACTGCTCGATGTCCAGCACGTCCTTGGCGTACACGGCGTGCGGCTGCCGGCCGGACAACGCGGTGGGTGATAGCGGCCGCCGGTCGACAAATACACGAAGTGTTTGGCACATGCGGCGAAAACTATCGGGTCAGACGAGGTCTTCCGATGGGCAGAGCAGAGCTTCGGATGCGGCAAAGTGTATGACGTAAGTTTGTGACTGGGTTCTGGATCACGAATCATAAGGGCTTGCCGACGGTTTTTGGGCTGGATGCTAGAGGCTCTTTCGTCCTGTTGCATTGCAATCAGTGAAGTTGGGGAAATCGAAGAATACTGGCATTATGGGACAACGTCGGAGCATCATTTGGGCCGACGCCCGAGCTCCCACCAACACACATACGAGAGTGTTCAAAAGACGCCAGCTTTAGGTCCCCAGAACGGCAGCTCCTCCCCACCTCCCCACCACGCGACCTAAACAAACGCCCGACGCTGATGTGCCGCTCCAATCCCTGGGAGCCGCCCGTTCCCTCGCGTTCCCAACGCCCGCTGCCTCGGAGGAATCAGCGGCAAACTCCCCGAAACTGAACTTTGTCTGACAAACAGGAGGCGCTGGCCGTGGGGAGCTCCAAGGCCGCGCGCCGGGCAGCGGCCGCCACTCACGTCCGGGACGAACGGCGGCTCGCACATGCCCGCCCGCAGGCGCTTCCAGTTGACCTGCTTGAAGAACTCGTGCTTCCTGACCTCGGCGGCGCCGTGGCGGCCCTGCTGACAGCCGAGCCGCTCCTCAGGCCGCTTCTGGAGCAGCTGTCGACCGAGTGCCAGGTCAGGTCAGCGGTCAGGTCACACGGAAAAACGGGGGCAGGTCAACAGTCAAGTCACACGGTGGGAGCGAGGTCAGGTCAGTAGTCAGGTCACACAGCGAGGAGCAAGGTCGGGTCAGCGGTCAGATCATACAGCGGGGGGCGAGGTCAGGTCAGCCGTCAGGTCACACAGAGGGGCGAGGTCAGGTTAGCGGTCAGGTCACACAGAGGAGCGAGGTCAGCGGTCACGTCGCAGTGATGAGCGAGGTCAAGTCAGCGACCAGGTCACACAGCGAGGAGCAGGATCAGGTCAGCGGTCAGGTCACACGGCCGGAAACGAGGTCAGGTCAGCAGCTAGGTCACATGACGTGGAGAAAGGTCAGCGGTCAGGTCACACGGCCGGGAACGAGGTCAGGTCAGCAGTCAGGTCAGGGGCGACACGGCCGGCGAATACGCTGGTCAGCCGACACGCGATAAAATGCAATCAGTGATCACATTACCGGACGACAGCTATGAAATTAGCCGGACGGGCAGCGGCGGTTGCATAAGTCGACGAACGACTGGACATCGCGGTAAATCCGGGATCGTGCGGCAGGACGTCCGGGGTCAGCACCATTCGGTGGGCACGGCCCAGCCGCGCCGACACATCTGAGGTCACGAGCTCACTGCCTCGCTGTTGACACCGCTAGATCCGGTTTAAAGGAGCCTGGCCACTCCCGCACAAGCAATCTCATCCACGTAAAAGCGTTCTCAGCTCGGGCGATTGCAGCAAAAGGTCACACGAGCCTCACGGCGCGAACTCCAGCGTTACCACCCAGGGGCCGGCCTTCTAACGCTGTCAAACAGACGACCAACTTCTCCATCAGAGCATGCAAATATCCCGATGATTCACTGCGGTGTAGATAAGTCCGGCCACGCGTGCATAACAGGACAATTTCGTTTTTGAAAAGCCGCAGCAGTATCTGAGCGCATCTAACAAACACCCATCAAGAGAGCACAGTAGTTTTCCAGATCTGCTAGCCTCGCCATAGCAAACACACGCGCTGCGTTTTTGCGGCAAGCGATCTTAGCGGCCCACCGTTCGCCACCTATCGGCTGGTGGGCGCCACAGCCTTACAAGAGGCCTTGCAGTCCACTGCAACCACTGCGTGACAGTTACCTGCCCCGTTCACGGCACTTTCAGGACCACTACCAACTGCAGACAGCGATTCAGTCAACCGTCCTCTCCATTGTCGCACCCCGACGAGGACACCGTCACCCTCTCGCCTGTTTCAAAGCGTAGAAAACTACCACAACCCGGTGGAGGGCCATTGGGGCTTTACGACGCACTCAGCTGCTGAGGCTATGCGGCATCGCCTGCCTCTCACCCTGGCAGAAAGGGCGGGCACCGCGGAGAATCGAACCCCGTGCCTCTGGTTTCCCAGACGTGCAGTGGTTACCGCAAACGCGTTTACCACTACACTATCGACACCCTACTCCTATCATACCCAAACGAGGACACTGCCACCCTCTCTGCTGATCTACCATGCAGAAAACTGACTGTGCGGTCCTCGTCCCAAGACGCACCCACTACGCCCCGCAGCAGCGGCGCACAGCAGCAGCCGCGCCGCCGCCGCCCAGCGTCGCTCACCAGCTGGCAGAGGGAGCGCGCCACGTCGGAGAACTTGCTCGAGTACTTCTCCTGCTCCTGCTTCACCCGGCGGTCCACCTCCTCGCGCTTGACGGCCTCCTTGCGCGCGCGGAACGGCGCCTGGCCTTCGATCATCTCGTACAGCAGGCAGCCGAAGCTGAACCAGTCGGGGCTGAAGTTGTAGTACTCGTTGTCGATCACCTCGGGGGCTGCGGCCGACCGACAGATGGAGCGATTAGCCCGCTGCCGGCGTGCACGTCGACTGGAGGCGAACTGCGTCGGGGACAAGCTCCAAGGCCCTCTCAGCTCCACAGAACACCGAGCACCGTTAAGTTCTTGACAGTTCACAGAGGTGCTCGAACTACGAACTACAAACAGGGACCTGCGGACGTCCCGGCAGCCTCGTCAAACACTGCCTAACGAGGGAGAGCACCGACTAGCCCTGCACGACAGCGCCACAGATCACTCCCTTGACGCCGCTACCTCATTACCCAACACCAGCCCGTCTCCGGGAATCCGCTCATCGCGCTTATTAGCAAAGTAATTGCACCGCGACGTGCCGGCCACAACACGCCGAGGGACCACCGCCCCACCAGCTGCCGCGCCGCCGCGCGCCGCCACTGACCCATGTAGCCGACGGTGCCGACCCTGCCGCGCACCCAGCCGCCCTCCGGAATGTCGACGGCCAGGCCGAGGTCGCTGATGCGCACGTGGCCCAGGTCGTCCAGCAGGATGTTCTCGGGCTTGCAGTCGCGGTACACGATGCCCTTGGCGTGCAGGTCCTGGAGGCCGCACAGCACCTGGCGGACGGCAGAGGTCAGGTCAGGTCACCGTCAAGGGGTTAGGTCGGGTCGCGGTCAACGGGGGTCAGGTCATAACCGACGGGTCGGGTTATGCTCGGCACAGGTCACGAAACACCAAATGGGTTTTAGGTCACGCTGGACGAGAGATCAGGTCACCCTGAACATAGTTCGGGTCACAGTCGACGTGGGATCTGACACCGGGGACACGATGTCTGGCCACAGCCAGCAGGGGACCAGGTCGCCCTTGACAGAGATCAGGTCACAGACAGCAGGACGCCGAGTTACGCTCGATAGTGATGATACCACGGCCGGCGGAGAGCCAGGTCACAACCGATACGGGTCAGACGACGATAGAGGGTCGCTCGGGTGTTCTCGTCGCCACGGACAGGGACAAGGACAAGGACAAGGACAAGGACAGGGACGGAGACGGAGACGGAGACGGAGACGGAGACGGAGACGGAGACGGAGACGGAGACGGAGACGGAGACGGGGACGGAGACGGAGACGGGGACGGCGACGGCGACGGGGACGCCGACCGGAGCGGAGACAGGGGCACGGCAAGAACAGGGTCAAAAACAGGGACAGGGACATATCGGGGGCTTCATACAGGGTAGACAGGCACGTGGTAGAGCCCTGACAATCACGGGCTGATCAAGCGACTGGCGATCACAGGATCCAGGTGTTAGGCTCCGACGAGTAGCCCAGTCAAACCATGTGTCAAATCATGGCCGACATGGAAGGGACAGGAAATGGCAAAGGAAACTGCATAAAGAAAGGGGCGAGTGGGGTCACGGGCGGCGGTGCACAAGAGCAGACACAACGCAGGGCCTGGGAGCAGACGCCTGGCAGCGCGGGGTCGGCTAATCTCTATTGCATGGGATGAAAGAGACCGCTTGGGGACATGTGATCGTTAGGTGCACAACATACACACTAGACAGGCACAGCAGTCGTGACAGTACAGTTAGATGACTGCTGAGCTCTGCTAACAGTGCTGCCGGCGAACGGCCGACGGTTTCTAATCCTCCCCGCAGGAGCCGTCGGGTTAATTGCTCTCAATTTCTCAAGACCTCTGTTTGATCGCAACGCACGACCCGTCCGTATCAGTCGGAACCGCTAACACGCATCATTAGCGTAGCGTGCGATTTAACGGGGCGAGCCACGCCACCGTGCATCAAACACCGCGCCGACAATGCCGCTTAATAACGTTCCGGTGAACGCCAGCCGGGCAGAGTGGTGACAGCTCATTTCCGGCGCCCGGCGACTGGTGACCGGCGCCTAGCGACTGGTGACCAGCGACTGGCGACTGGCGACTGGCGTACGGTAGCCGGCAAAATGGCCCGAACAGCTCAAGAGCTCTTTACTTCATGTCAGCAAGAGAGCCCATGAGCTGTTTTTTTGCGTTGTGAGAGTGGTAGCTTTACGCTGGCAATGTCCGTCCTTTCATATGTCCGGTGGTATTCGCTTAACGATGACATTGGGCTAGAAATGGTTATACTGGCGACACTCAGTTGCGTTGATATAACCATCGTTTGCCTAATAACGTTACTTGCCCAGTACCTCGCGATAGCTTGAGAGTGGATTATGGTCAGCACGAAAATTTCCACTGATAAAGCGCTCTTTAATCCCAACGGTAGCCAGGGCCGTGCGGTGAGCCCTGTCCCCAGTTTCTGCAGGTCACCGGCGGTGGCCGGACGCGGTGTTACACCCCCGTCACCCTCTAACCAGGCGCGAGGCTCGTCGCATCACGCGGTTCACGCTGGGACCAGAGGTGAGATCAGCAGCCGGCATCCGCCAGCGGTCTCCGCCAGCATGTTCCGCGAGTATGATCTCACTTTCAAGGTGAAGAGCACCGCAACGCTGGCGCATTGAGGAATGCCGCGGCCCCGCCCTCGCGCTCGGCCGCCGCACTGGAGGCTGCAGTGGAAACCAGTCCCGTTGTCCCGGACCTCCTTTTGTCCCGTGACAGAAAAACGCGACCTTTCTGGACTCGGTTCCGGAACCACGCGGTTTCGGCATCACATGGCGGCTGCGCCCCGGAACTCCACACCCCTTACCTCCGCCGCGTAGAACAGCACGCGGTCCGGGCTGAAGCCCGGTTCGCCCCCCATGTTGTAGATGTGGAACTTGAGGTCACCGCCGTTCATGATGGTTAACACCAGACACAGGGCGTCTTTGGTTTCGTACGCGTACGTTAGACTAACCTGAAACGCAGGCCACAGCGTCAAGCGCGCGAAGCGACGGGGAAATGAGGATGGAGAGAGCGGCTGAGGAGTGGCGGGAGGATGAGGACGGCGCAGCGGACGGTCGGAATGGCAAGCGGAAACGTCAGGTTGCCGAACATCGGAAGCAGTGATAAAAGCGAGGGGCGGAGACGAAGTACGTGTTAAAACCAGGCAGTAACACCAGCCAGTGACGATGGAGGATATAACTGTAATTATTCCACAGAAAAGCGGATGAGGTCAAACCTAACAAAGAGTGGGAATTAAGGACGAACAGATATACATCGTCTTGTAGATAACATCAGGTAACGAGAACTGAGCCGTCACGTGTCCACTCATATCGCCCACGCGTGAGCAGCCCGGTAAGGCGGACACACCGCCGCGCGCCAGCTTCGGCGTTCAACAAAAGACCCTCGCGGATGCTGCTCATGTCCGGCCTACAAGCGGGACAAACAGAGCGCAGTCCTCATTTGTCACCGAGGTGGCCGAACACGGCCGCCCACCTGTCGCGATTGACACACTGCCGACCCGAGCACACATACAAACACGCGCGCGCGCGGACCGGGACCGATACGGCGCGGCTCGTCGCGCGCGCCGCACATGGCCGGCCCGCGCCCGAAAGGTTAGCCCCGCGCCGGTATCGATCCCGCCGACAAGCTATCAGCGTCATCGACGAGCTATGCACGCTCAATGGAAGCCTGAAGACCCGTATCGCCGCGGGGATTAGCAAGGAAGCGGACGCCGCACAAAAAAACAGCTTTCCGAGGAAGGCGGTTATTATTATGTTTTTTAGGGTGCGCGCTGTGCACAAGGCAGTAATCCAGTCGCGTGTGGGCTGACCGTGCATGCCGCATGCCACAACATCATGGTTCCGGTGACGTCACAGGCTCAGCAGCGTCTGAAAAATTGCAGGCTGCACAATCTGCATGGGAACGTGGCAAACTATTGCCATGTTTGGCCTAGAAAACGCCGCTGCTATCTATCAGGGCGGTGGCCCAAACCGCGATGGTCCCATTACTCCGCGGTGCCACACCAATAAACGTCATTCTGACAGATGGGCCTGCGGTGTGATTTACGCCGCTTCAGGGGCTCTCAAATGTCACGGGCCCGGGTCTGTTGATTTTGCACGCCACGCCAGCAGAGTTTGGAAGCGTTTGACATTGACGCCTCAGCAGTGCGCGCGCCCGATAATGCACGTGCAATAAGTGCGGATAGCGCGCTAAGGCGCGCTGCTTCCTTCCAACGCGCTGCAGCCAGAGGGTAGGACCAAACCCGGTCTACTTCGTGGCAGCCCTAATAATGAAAATTTACCATGGCATCGTGTCACAATGAACCAGACTGCATTTACATAATCCAAGCAATCTGTCTGGACATACTGGTGTTGACGAAGTGATTCGGACGCGACAATTTCTCCCCGGGGACATCGGCTCGTCTCGCTGCTGATTACACCGAGCCACTGTCAGCGGCGGGGGCCCTCCGGCGAAACTGGCACGCGCTCGATATTGATGGACGAATGAGACCAACGACGACCAGGTCTAGCCGCGATCAATGGACTTCGACGAGTTTGTTTTGCAATGTGCGACAACCGGCGCGATTTGGCAACATCTGGGTCGTTCTGCTAGTGATCTGAGGCGAAAGAGGAAAATTAAATGTCCCGCTTTCCTCATGAACGGCAAGTGATTGGCGATAATGGGATATTTAGCCGCTGGAGGGCGCTTGACTCATCCATGTAGTTTGCAGAAATACGCTGTGGAGCCGCTCGTGGGAAAATGCAAACCAATTACGCCGCAGAAGGCATTCATTAGCATGCAGCTCATGGCCGCGCTAACAAAACTGCAACTTCCGCACGCGTCACGACATTTTGCATAAAAACGGGTCAGCCGCAGCAGCAGGCTTCGATTTGGGCCTGGGTCAACGACGACACGTTGCTTTGTCTTGCGCTTGATTCCTCAACTCACACGGCATCTACGCACTCAAGCTCGGCTTCTGAACGGGCATCACGAGTGGAAGACAGCATGGTAAATCCACGCTGAAGTGAACGCCCTTGAAAGACCTTGATCGCATCGTCAATACAACTCCGGTGGGAGCGGCGTGTGGACACAGACGCTCCGGCACACAACCGCGAACACAGAACGACACCGCAGGGCGTCTGTGATGATGTTTGTAACGCGCCGCTGCAGGACGTCGCCAGGTGCTGTCTCATCAAGCCGTAGCAAATCGACGCCGCTGCGGTGACTCAACGAAAAGGTGCCGGCTCACACACTTGCGCGGCATACCGCACTGACTGAAGGGCCGTAATCAGTATGGCGGCATACCATATCAGCAATCGGTATGGCAGCATACAATAGCAGTAACCAGTATGACGGCATGCCATGCCATCAATCGGTATGGCGGCATACCATAGCTGCAATCGGCAAGGCATACCATGGCAGCAATCAGTATGACGGCATACCGTATCCATCACCAGTGTGGCGGTAGATGGCAAAAGCCGTGACAATTGCGCGCAACGCTGGCTGATGAACCGTGAATCACGAATGGACGCGTTGAGGGCAGGATCAGACTGTAACAAATATTCCGCATCGCTTGACTTCATATCGCTGCGCGGGATGCACTATCAGGAGCAAAAATGGAGGCAGGGCGGGAGACAGCGTCTCCGACGGACCATCGTCCCGTACTCACAACGAATCTAGAGTTGACTTCTTCTAGTGTCATCTTCTCTATAAGCACCATCAGTTCACCTTTCCGCTTCTTAATTCGTTTCTTTTCTAGTTTCTTGCAGGCATACATTTTGCCGGTGGCGCGCACCTGGCACGCGCACACCTCCCCAAACCCCCCTTTCCCTAGCACCCTGTACATGCGGAACGTCTTGTACGTCACCGGCCTCCTGCAACAGAGCGGGGGGCGGGTGTGAGGTAAGGCGGGCCACCGCTGTCCAGACACGAGGCACTGCCAGTGCGCTGAGCGCCGTCAGTGACAGCGGCCCCAGTGCGCTGAACGCCATCAGTGACAGCGGCCCCGGTGCGCTGAGCACCGTCAGTGACAGCGGCCCCGGTGCGCTGAGCACCGTCAGTGACAGAGACCCCAGTGCGCTGAGCGCCGTCAGTGACAGCGGCCCCGGTGCGCTGAGCGCCGTCAGTGACAGCGGCCCCGGTGCGCTGAGCACCGTCAGTGACAGAGACCCCAGTGCGCTGAGCACCGTCAGTGACAGAGACCCCAGTGCGCTGAACGCCCTCAGTGACAGCGGCCCCGGCGCGCTGAGCGCCGTCAGTGACAGCGGCCCCGGTGCGCAGAGCACCGTCAGTGACAGCGGCCCCGGTGCGCTGAGCACCGTCAGTGACAGAGACCCCAGTGCGCTGAGCGCCGGCAGTGACAGCGGCCTCAGTGCGCTGAGCGCCGTCAGTGACAGCGGCCTCAGTGCGCTGAGCGCCGGCAGTGACAGCGGCCTCAGTGCGCTGAGCGCCGTCAGTGACAGCGGCCCCAGTGCGCTGAGCGCCGTCAGTGACAGCGGTCCCAGTGCGCTGGGCGCCGGCAGTGACAGCGACCCCAGCGCGCTGAGCGCCGCCAGAAGAACGTCAAACGGCCGGCGGCGCGAAGGCAAAACAGTCGAGCCGCGAGTAATCGCAACAAGTTCGGCTTAAAACGCCGACGCGCTCGGGGTTGGGAATCACCAGAGGTGTGGTTCGGACCAAACGGTCAGCTTAAGCAGAGAAAGTACAGGACCATCGGGCTGATACTTAGGACGGTTTGTGGTTTTAATTGGGGTGCGGCTGGGTTCTATTCTCAGAAGCCATCGACGATAAGACGACCCATGCTCACACTGAAAGTTGGTCGTACAAGTTTTACGGCGTTGTTCGGTCTCAGATTCCAAGAAATATGTTAAAAGCGACTTAAATGACTGGCCCGAGCTTCACACAAGTCGAGCCGGATTTTCGCACGATAATTTACGACGGTCGAAACAAAGCTGTCGTGACAAAGCAATCAAACAGGTAAGTCTACCGGACAATCCTCAAGCCGAAGGGTGTGTATGTCTCAGGAAAGTAATCTCTTATTTAGTTTAGGGACTAGAGCCCCCTTCCCCTCCCCAATTTGGGCTTCGTTCCCTCCCCCCTCCCCCCAATATTGAATAAAAGTGGACCAAATCCGGAGCGTAGCCCGTTTGTTGGCATATTTTGGGGTGGGTTGCGTACTTTTATACCACAGCCTTCCCACACACTCCTATAGCGTTACAACGCGCCTGGTGTGTCTGTAAGCATTGCGAATAATGCCTCCCTCAAATCAGCAAAGTGCTGCCGTGGGCTTTGAGCCCATGCAGCGCTGTACAAACTACTGGTGTTTTTAATGCGCATACCTTTAACCCACAAAGAAAATGGGCGTGCGGTACGAAAAAAGCACGCAATGGGATTTGGTGGGACATGTACTGGTGCACAGCACCGCAGTATTCAAACTAACAGGCTACATGTATATTCCAAATGCACGTCAAAACATGCACTGACCCGGGCCACGTGCCCCCAAGATACAACTCGGAACAGTTCACTGCCAAAACGCTGCGCCACAAGGTCAGGCCGGCGCTCGTTCCAGGCAGTGGCCTGACCTGACCTGGTCAGTGCTCACCTCTCGAGCCACTTCCACTGGAGGTATCTATGGAAAAACATGGAGTCGACGAACTCCTGCAGAGGTTGGTTGGCGAGGAAGGCCTTCACCAGCTGCACGCAACCGTCGAACAGCTCTTTGCAGGGCCGTAACAGGCCCTCCTTGCAGGAGGCGGACACGTCCTCGTTCAGCACGTCGATTGAGTCCGGCGACTGCCGGGCACAGGGCAAAGGTCAGAGGTCATAAGTCACCGGCCAGAAGCAAAAGACCTGGTTAGGTGACGGGGCACCGGCGCAGACATAAAACGCTGCGACATATGGCACCCTGACGCGGGCGTGTATTAGCCCTTACGCTGGAGAGGATTCCAAGGAGGAGACAGTACGTGATGTGCACTATTCTGATACGTGGACATCTGTAAAGGGCGCTTCAGCTTGAGCCAAATTTGTTAATGACTTCTAGAACTTAATCAGACATCCCAAAGAATCCCCGATATTCCCCAATAAAAAGCCAACGTTGGATACGCGATTTACCCCGGCGGAGACATGAAGACTCGCAACTGTGCATCTTGATTAAATATTGAAATAAAAAATCTAAAATAAAATGCTTATGTTGATCAACGCTGGGAATCGAGTTCGTCTGGGTGGAAATGAGCTTTGCTTAAAATTCGTCCACATCTAGGGGCCTGTGACGCAAGTGCTCCAGAATCTAAAACAGACTGGTGTCGATTCCCCCCACGTGGCATAAAATGTTGACACAAGGACAGCGAGGCTCAACTACGCACGCGCATAAGTACACACGTACACACGCACGCACGCACGCACACACGCACGCACGCACGCAAGCATGCACGCACGCAAGCACGCACACAGGGACGCACGCACGCACGCACGCACGCATGCACACACGCACGTAAACTGACAAACACTCCGCCGGGGAACACACCGATGGGAAACAGCGAACCACCAGGCCACCAGGGAACTGCGCCCGGGAAGCAGCAGCAGCGGTCATTATGGTGCGAGCCGTCACAAAGCAGCTCGGGGACTTCACCTGCATCGATGGTGAGCGGAGATATGTGCACAGCGACGTGGGAAGCAGGCACAGATCCAATTTCGATATTTCATTCGAACCTTTGAAATGGGTGATTACTGGGGTCAGACCCCACGCTTTCCGTTTGTGGGACTAACTTGGAGGAACCGGGTGTTGACCTCCAGTGCTGTATGTGCGAGCATTCGGACGTTACACTCAGTCTCGACATTGTTCCGATGGTGGTTGTGGTTGTAGTTGGTGGTTGAGGTTGTAGTTGGTGGTTGAGGTTGTAGTTGGTGATTGTGATTGTAGTTGGTGGTTGTGGTTGTGGTTGTAGTTGGTGGTTGTGGTTGCTGATGGTGGCTGTGGTTGTAGTTGGTGGTTGTAGTTGTGTTTGTGGTTGTTGATGGTGGCGGTTGTGGTTGTGGTTGCAAGTACGTGGCTCACAGAGGCCTCGCAGCGACAGTGGGCGCGGCAGCAGCGTTCGGGTGGCCTAACTACAGATCTTAAGTGATACCCCAGTAGCAGACTACACAACAGATAGCTTATCATAGACACAGCTCCAGTGGCTTTTATCGCAGGGAAATCCCGCAAACTAACAAATCAGCGCACATGATCCCAAAAGGCGTCCTGGATCCGGGAGAGGAGGCCTCCGCAAATCGTCATGCGGTGCCCAGTCCAGGAGCATCCAGGATCCCAGCCGCGTGACCGATGACGTCATGAACCGAGTCGTGTTAACTGTTGAATCGTACGAGCACGCCGCCCGCCGACCCCGTCCTGGCATTATAACGGATGCGAAGCAGCTGCCATCCCGCTCGAAACACGTCTTTCGTGACCTTGGACGCCTCCTCGTCCCTCTGACGCCACAGCCCGGCCGATCCGAGCCGCCGCTTACCGTGGAGGCGATATACTTGTAGAAAATGGATTGTGCCGCCTCGGCTCGCCGCTCGTCCGCCTCCAGCTCGTACTGCTCCTGCAAGCAAACCACGGCCAATCAGAGGTCGGCAAACTCTGCCACGCAGCGCCGCGGTCGTCGAGACCGCGCACGAGGTGCGGCTAAGTGACGTTGCGCCGCTGCTCTCATCCAGAAGGCGAGTCTGCATGTCCCGTGACGTGGAAGAGCACGAGGTACCGAGACGGAATAGCGCGGCCACCGATGTGGGCAATCCAGCATGCTTGATGGAAACTGCAACGCAACTGTTCTTTTTTCGAAGTTTAACGAAAGCCGAGGAGCTCCAACAAGGATGCGGTGGACCAAAGTACGTCCCGTGATTTACTCCGACACTGTTGCTGATGAAAATACTCTGCTTCAGCGCAATGTGACAGCAGTTGCCATCAACTATCAACCGAAGCAAGACATTGATCCACTATTTGCGGTTTCGCGGCCGACGTTTTCCGCCTAAGAGTACACTTCAGATCACGTCGGCGTGTCGCGTCACGTTGCCAGTGATCTGATCGCGTCACAGAGCACGCGGACCAGTCACGCCACTCAGGGAGTGCGCTTTAGACCATGTCAGTGTGCTGCGCAGTGCTACGAATGGTCTGCTCGCGCCATCTAACACTCGGATCCGTATCGTTACCCACACACTGGTGAAAGCTATCATTTGTGGCGCTGGCGCCTCGTTCAATCGCCCGTGGCGGGGCCTGGAGCCTTGTGTGAGCCAGGTGATCCCCACTGCCGAACCGAACTATTAAGGCGATCTCGACTGGTATCAAGCCTCTCGAAGTCCCTCTCGTGAGCACACGCTATCTCCCGAAACCCAGCCGCTAATCTCGCATATCGGTCCCCAAATAAAAACGTCTGTACTGTCGGGCCACTCGCCCCTAACCACAGCGCCCCCACAAACACATGATTCATCTCCACACGTCTACAATCCACGTCTGCGCCCGCCGCCAGTTCCACCAGCCGCGTCATCCATCATCGCCACGCCACGGTCGGTTCCGTCCTTCTCGAGCATCAATCGCCGCCGAGCGCGCGCAGCGGCGGGCCCGCGGTCGGCTCGCCCTGCCTAAACGTTTCCGCGTGGGCCGCGCGTCTTCTCCCGAGCAGCGCTGTTGGCGATCCATCGCGTCGGGCCGCCGGCCGGCCTCTCGCGGGAGCGGGGCCGAGCGGGCCGGTCCGGTGGCGCCCCGGCCGGCGGCGGCCGTTTACGGTGGGCGCCGGCGCTCCCACCTCCGTCTGATGTTCGGATCAATATGGTGCTATCAGCCTCGCAACCTAATTATCTCACGTACGGACCTCGCCGTGCCCCCCCCCCCCCTCCCCCTCCCCAGCGATGCGGTCGGCGCAGATCGACAAGCGCCAGCCGACCGCGCCACCACCGGATGCCGCCGCGCGACGCCCGAGCAACGACAATGAACCAGTGCCGGGGCGAGATGAAAGCGGGCTGCGGCGCCGGCAGCGTGGGCGCGAGGAGACGTCAATGGCGGTGATCGGGCTCTTTTTCGGCGTATTACTTTGATCCACTGCGCTCGGCGACAACGAATCCTTGGCGTCCATCGCTACGGCCGGCCAGACGAGACTAAGTGCGTCTGTGCGAGCAGACGTTTGAATATTCAGGTGATCCGAACTGCAGGAAACACTTGGCCTATCACAGGAATATTTCAATGATCAGGACTGCAAGCACAACAGTACGATCAATGGTGCGAGCGTTCGTCCAACCCGTCAGTCGCAAGCTGAGGAAGAGGCGATGATCCGCTCACGGCGACAAATTCTGAGCATACCAAGGCCCAGGTGCCGTGCCACGCCGTCACGCAGCTCCACCGGACCGACTCCCGGGCCCAAATCCCGCACGGCGTCATCACGCGAGTGAGAGCACCCATACATGCGGACCCCGTGGGAGCGCCGTCTCGCACAGTCACCAGCGCCCACCGCGCGGAGAACGGTCGTGAGCAAAGCGGCTTCCGCCTGGGAACAGTGATCGATGGGCTGCCATTCAGTCCAGTCATGTTTTCGCGGAGTCCGAGTCGAAGCTGGCGTCAGCCAGTGTGATGCGCCGGCTCCTGCCACGTGCTGGCATAAAGCCTGCCGTTATTACCTGGCACCCAGGAGAATATCCCACAGGTGCGCCCTCCGAGGCTTTAGAACTTAGTACGGTCTTCTCGCGTACTTTGAGCCCGTACTTAGGGCTTATCCGCATTGAGTCCGTGGCAGGTCCAGCACAAAAGCGAGGCCCCAGGGCCTGTGCTGCAAAGCGTGTTGGCCGGCCGGCGGGCGCGGCGGCCGGGCGCCTTTGACCTCTGCCGGGGCGCGCGCCGCGGGAGACGCGGCGCTCAAATGGCGCGCCGTTGTCGGGGCAACGGGACACCCGAGCGGCGTATGGCCGGGCGACACGGCTGCGAGGCGCCCGTAATGGCGTGCGCTCCGGCGCGGCTCGCGGCAGGTGCGCCGTCGCAGGCGCCAACAGGGGAATGGGGGAGCAGCTGAAATGTCACGAGCGTTGCGCTTCTGGAAAATGTCGCCACTCAGCATGTTCG